TTTTAATTTTTTTTTTTAGAGAGGTATTTACAGAGCAACAGCGAGAGCAGTAGAGCAGTCTGCTCTTAGAGTAACAAAACTTTAAGGATATTACATAACTGAAAAATATATTTGCACAGTAGGTCCTCTAAAGAAGAACAATACTAAGAGTATTAGCACAAGTAATGTGCCAAATGCCATACTGGAACTGACTGGAAAATGTATGAATGCAAGTGTGAGAAAGTGTGCATATGAAAAGGGAAACAGAAAAGCAATGAGTCACATTACAAGATAGCGAGACAACAAGAGGGTTGTGTAACAATGAACTGTTAAGTGCTACAATTGGCCATCCTTCCTAATAGTTTTGACTTGAGCTGCAGCTTACCTCTTACTTCTAAGTTGATAAAGCCAACTTTGACTGACAAAAGGTAACTTCAGATCAAGGTGCTGATATAAGAGATCCTGCCAAAAATTCACACTGACAGTGTAGCAAGAACAAGAAGTGTGACACTTTGCACAATCTGTAATATTGAGTTCTTGCTGTTACTGGACTGCAACAGTTGTTGAAAAACTAAAATATGGAAGCTGATTTAATCAAGTCTCTGTATGACACGAAACACGATATCTGCATAATTTAGTATTTGTGTTTGTATGTCTCTGTCACATTATGCAATTTCCATAAGAGGAAGCAACTTCTTATTTGTTTTCCAGCCTAGCTTGTTTTCTTTCAAAGAGGGAATTCCCAGTCTGTTAGATGACACACTCACGTCATTGCTGCAGCTGCCTGCTAAGAGAAGAACCCATAAAATATCTTTACAGCTAAAGGATGTTTATCATATTTGATTTTCTATTAGCTTCAGTGAGCATCCACATATGCTAGCACCTTCATGAAAATATAATCACAAAACACACAAATGAAAGATTGAGCAACCGATCAGATTTCAGCAATTAACAACAGTTGATTTGTTGCATGGTTAAATGGCTCGCCCCCCACGAGTGCTATGTGTTCATGGCACGATTGAGATCAGAGAGGTTGGAGGAAGAATACTGATGCAGGCACAAGGTCACAAGGTTGCATCGTTACTGCACGCCTCCTCGTCCCCTCCACTTCTCTTACTAACATTTGCTCAGTGACCTCAAGGCAGTTTCTTCCAGCTGGAATGTGATAAAAAAAACCAAAATAAAAGAGCTATCACAAGGCAGGAACGTGTTGTCAGAACGGTACTGAAAAATTTCAACAGCAGTTTTGGTTATTAGAGTACTTACATCCTTTTTTGACCATAATTACTGGCACTTCTGTTGGCAGTCAATTATCTGTGGTTGACAAAAGCCCAGCTGGGGTCACTAATGGCAAAGATACTTCCGGCTGCTCCTTTATTCACATAAAGAAGCCATAGGGCCTAGCTCCTAAAAATTTTTAAGAGGTATTATATAAAAAAATATTCTGCTTTACACTACTTACTAAATTACTTTTGTATTAAAGCAGAAATGTTCAGTTTCATGTATTATTAACTTGAATTAAGGTTTGCAACTGTTTTAGAAAAAGGTTCATATTTTCCCCACTTAAAGAGAATTTCACAAAAAATGTTGTGGTGACGGTGGTTATGCTGTTGAAACACAAGACATTTCCTCTTCAGATGCTACGAGAGACAATGTGGTGACAGCACTGGTGAGTTTTTCTGATATTCTGGACTGGGTGCAGTTTGTACTTTGCTGTTAAATTTTTATCAGAGCAAAAAATTCAAAATAATGTGCCTATCTGAACTCTTCTAAAGCACTAGGCCATACTACTATTCTTGACTCTTCATCTACTACGTGACCTGAAGTCAGGCAATTGTTCAAGGATTTATGAGTCAGCACATTTGATGATTTTTGCATTAAAAAACCCACATGATTACTGACTTTACAAATAGTAATAAAATAGTAATTAAAAAAAGCACATTACTATAATGTCATGTCAATAATGCAATACTGTTTTGTAATGCACACAAAAAATTCAAATGTAATCTTTAAACAAATAAAACTCTGGATATAGGGTTTGTAGAGCTTTTAAAGCCCTTTAAGGTAAACTTTAGATTTTGCTCTGTATAAATGAAGGACTTTACAGGGTACATTACTGGATCTTGGAGTAACAGTTTTTTTTCCACATTGAGTCAGAATTCTTTACTAATTGTATCAACATGCCCTTGCTTTTTCAACAGGACAGCAGTACTGAAAGGCAAAATGTGCAACATTAGCTAACTGCACAGTGGGCGAGTGTTGATAGATGCAGTTGAAGATGTGATCATTTATTTTCACTGAGACACTGAGAACAAGCTGATAGCAAACAAGGCACCAGGCAGGCGGTACTACCAGGAAAGGAAGGATGGATCTGCATGAAAGTCAACAACTTACTCCCTGGAAAATTCTGACCTGTGCACGAAACTCTTGTGTAAAGCTAGTTATACAAGGAAGTTAAATGTGGACTGATCTTGAGATGTGTGTGGTGATAAATTTTTGCATCTAGTAACAGATGGGAAAGAGACCAGGATGAAGAGGCAATGCTTTTTAATTAAAAAAACAAACAAACACACACACACACACACACACACACGCACACACACACAAAAAACAATAGCTTTAGCTTGTCTGGGTGGGGGAGGAGTGATACACAAAATATTTTAATCTTCAAAAAAAAAGGCTCCTTTTATATCACACATAGCTACAACACCTATTCTATTGTTATGCTCAATTTTAGCCCCTGTTTGCCCCTCCCAGCACGTCAGCACGCATGATAATTAGCCAATATCAGTTATTTATGTAACCACGGTAACTCTTTGAGGTACTGTTGACTGCGAGCCATCAGTGTAGCTGCTAAGAATACCCTGTAGCCACAGGTGGCTACTAATATTTAGAGTGGTTATTTTGCATTTAAATATTGCAAAAATAAAGTATTGTGCTAAGCTTTAACTCATGTAAATGGTTATTTTTGTTGTCATAAAATCTTCACTTCAGTGGTTTACATTAGTGTAAATGGGCAGCTTTTATTTCACTACTTTAGGCCCCTATAGTAATTTTGTCATCTCCACCAGTACTGCTGTGAAAACAAGCCAGAAGCATGACTGTATTAAGTCCCGTGACCATTTTTTTCATGGTAATCAAATTTTGCTTGCTGTTGTCAATTATCACCCCATCCAATCATACACTGAACATGACTTCCACATAGCTAGCCAAACCAAATATGGTCACTTTCAGTTCAGAAACAATACCAAACGCCAGGACAGCAATGACCGAAATGCCAAATGCAAAGCTTAAAAATAGTAGCCGACAAACGGTACTGTCATGAAGGGGAACCATGGGAGCACAAGAACTTTTAAGAAAGATGAATCGGATAAAATCCCCCGAACAAACATTTTCATGCCCATCTCCAGCATTAAAACACTTGAAGTACTTATTAGTTCTAGTTTGCCGTGCTAATTAGAATCAGAGTTTATCTGAAGATGAAAACCCTCAAGCACAAACAATACCAGGAATCGAGATTCCTTCAAGTGGCTTTTCAGAGAATTCACTTAGACAAAAAAGGATGTTAAATTACAATTTATCATCTAATATTATAAAAATAGAACCTGACTGTCACTGACTAAATAGTTCTGTGAATACAACGAAATAGTTACTTCCCTGTGAAAAGGCTGATGTGGTGCGCACACTAAAGAGGCTGTACTCAGTACAGCAGTTGTCATGACATACACACTTTCCAAACCCACTCCCTTAGCCTTACTCTGCTGGCCATAGTTGATACAATTTCAAATTCATCACAGGACTTTCATAATTATTGAACGTGAACCAAAGAGCTCTCCTCATCATGTGAGGATTATTACACTCTTCCTAGTTGTTTTTAATTCCACACCTGGTCATATTGCATGTTACACATGATCAACCATGTGCACAAAGACTAACGTCCACCAGCTGCCAGATGGCGGGAAAACAACAGCAAGAATATAATCTGGATAAGTTGGAATAAAAATAATAAAAATGCAGAGCATCATGAGCTATAGTAACTGTAGCTACATATTTATATTTACTGTAACTATGGAAATATTTTCACACGCACCAAAAATTTTGATCTATGGATTGTCATCTATAAAGGCAATCCATTCACATGTACAATGGATCGTAACTTAAGCGGTACCAAAATCTATATCAAAAACAAACTTCTAAAATATCTCATAACCAGAAAAAAAACATTCTGGATATAAAAAAGTAGAGGGATGACCATTTCTTTAAAAATAAAAAAAATATTGGAAAAATCAATATCAGTCTCAGACAATGTGTCTATTTATTTGACAGAAATGTTGCCATTGACATTATGTGGTTAAATCTCTGTTCAAAGTTCAAATAACATGCAAAAGTACAACAGAGGATTCATAAAAGACAGATGACTATATTCTGCTTTATAAAACTGTATTAAACTGTATACATTGTTATATGATTATTTTTGGAGTGTTTATTTATTAAAAGCATTAGGTGATGTTTTTAAGCTTTCCTGAAAAGCAGAAAAGAAGCAATGCATCCCTTTAACATCTTAAGTGAGTTAACATCTTAAGATTTTTTGAAAATTTGAACTCAAGGCAGACTAAATAACAGACCAACAGCAAATTAATTGTCTCGGCTAGCCCAAGAGATAATACATGGCAATACAAAGTAAAATTCTCAGAGATTTATTTTAGTGAATTAAAGATTTTTAAAAAGAGGATAGAAGGAAAGGCAAACAGAAACCAAGGCTGATAGAAGAGCAACTGTGTTTCTGTTCCATACCGTGGCTGTCGTCCGACTGGTTGAAACCACACAGGTGGCAGATGGAGCGGACCCACTTGTTCATCTCTTCCTCAGTCTCAGCTACAAGATAGAAAGTGCGGTCTACAGTCTTGATGTCAAATACATAGCTGTCCTGGAACTCCTTCCTCTTAAAGGTCAGGCCTGCATCGACCTGCTCACAGCACTGCAGGTCGATCACCCGAATGGGCTTCTTAGAGTGATCATTCTTGTAGTACTCCAGAACGTCAGGGTCACCACTCATGCGGCCACTGCGAAGTATAAACCAGCGTTTCTTCCATGCCTGGAAATGAGATTGAAAATGTAAGAACGCGAATGCAGAACAAAACAAAGCAAAACGAAACACAAATACCAAATTATACAAAAGTTTTATTTAAAAAATATATATACACAGACATATATACAAAAATATATCCATTGTCATATATACATATATATATGTTTATATAAACACACACAATATATAGTTGGACTGTAAGCGTTGCACAAAAAGACAAAAGCTATTTCTGCACATACGCGGTTATGTGTGGTTTGTATGTGTGTTAGACACTGTGGGGTGAGGGGGCAGCAGGTGTTTGCTCTCTCCCAACGTATTTCCTGTGCCGATATCCCTCCTTAGGCTGAGACTAGCAGCGCTCCTCTAACACAGCTTCAGACTGCAGCCTCCTGCCACCTTAAAAACTGGTAATTCACACTTCTTCGGTCCAATCAAAATCATGCCACATCTGCAAATCATCATGTCAATTTTTGTCTGAGAGTAAATAAGCATCGTGCATCGTAACCACACGAAAAGCAGCAAAAGGTTCATATTTGATAATGTAAACAGCTATAATAACAAGAGAACTACAATGTCACACATTTCACACCATTAACATTGTTGTATGTATCAAATGGAAACGAGTAAAGGAAGAACGATGGCTTTCAATACAACAGTTCAATGTAGTTTTCCAGTGGCTGTCTAAAGGGACTCTGTGTTCTCTATGTTCAGAAACAAAAGAGGAAGATAGACCAGGAAGGCAAAGGAGGAGTAAAGGAGGGTTGGGGAGAGTAGGGGGAGACTTTTGGACATTTGCCATGATGCACTGCACTTCTGCAAGGCAATGTCTCACGTTCAGGCTGCTGACACACAGGATTCTGCAAGCACTCTCTCTCTCTCCATCAACACAGACACTGCTGCAAGGCTAACACCTCCCCCCAAACAGACACACACACACACACGGCAGAAAAATGGATTGTACTGATGTCTCTAGTGCCTTTCAGAAAGATTCCTAACCTCCTTGGAAAATAAGTATGCTAAATGTTTTATTTAGTTAGACCATTACTTCTGTGATGCAGAGGTCAGATTAATGGATGAAATAGCTTTGATATCTTTACCCTGCCCATGAAAACAAGCCTCAAATGAAATGAAGTATTTAAGCATTTTGGTGATGTGAGAAATAAAGAGAGAAAAAAAAGAATACATGTATGGATGGCAACAGGGACCCATAAAGAGATTAGACCTGTTACGTTTATGAAAAGGTGGTTGCCACTGAAAGGAAAGAGCTGCTGCAATGCCGGCCTACATGCCTGGTCCAACAAAACGACCTAGACTGAATACTACTAAGACGAACAATCAATCACAGGCCCTTTGAGAGACCTGGAAAAAATCCAACATGATATTCCTTCTCGACTTCTCTAAGAGGCGTTAAAGCAGGCTGCATGTTCTTGATGCCATTTAGCACCTTTAGCCAAAAAGCTTAGATGCTGAAAAACGAGAAGCACGCCCACAAAGTAGGAAAAAAAAAACCTTCAAAAAGGCACAACCAAAAATACATGTAGAAAATAGCAACTAGTGCAGCTGTTCCAATACCTCCACCCCAACTCACTGAAAGTAAGACACAGTCAGGTATTGAAGTACTTTGTGTTTGAGGAAAATGGCCATGGGGTGATACCTGACTTGCAAAAGGTAACCAATGTTATCAAGCTTTTGAGACCAAGAGAGAAAGTACTACTAATTTAGCAAAGCACCAAAAACACCAGGACCCAGATCTGCTCGAACAGTTCAAGGTGGATGAGTTTCAGTAACAACAACTAAAGTATTATCCTACTTTGACATTACCACCGTGAAATGAAGTATGTCCCATAGGCTAAAATGTTTGCAAAAGCAAAATGCTTAACCTTATGTAATGTAACTAATATCACACCTTGTAGTAACATTAGTAGGCCAATATTTCATTCTGTGCCCTGTCAACAAAGTATAATGTTAACACTTTAAATAAATACATTTTTAAGCACATGGGATAATAATAATTTTGTTGTGGTATCAAAATGAGTATTGAGAACTGTATAATTCTATGCGTATTGGTTCCACCTACTATGTTTGTGTCATGATCTTCCTAGAGCATAATACTACCTTTCTTTGATCAGATGCACAACTGACACCTTCAAATTTATTTCAAAGATATATCTTTCTAAAGAGATTTAACCAAATGCATCCCTTAGATTTGCTATTTTATGAATTTGCTGCGAGCTGTTCCCTTTTTTTTTACTTTCTAAAATGTTTCACAAAATAATGTGTTAAACAGTGGTGTTTAATTACGATAAAGTACATTTCTGAGACAAACGTCATCATACCAATGGTTATTTTGACATTCTTTCTTGAACACATACTCTTTTCTGTTTTTTTCCAGGAAGTGCAGATTGTTATCTTATATTCGGCGTCTAACTGAAGTTCTCCTGAGGTACTAGTTTGCAATACTGTCTGTTTATTTTCTTTCAGACTGATAAACTGATAAAAGCTGTAGGCAGTATTATCTTAATAGTCTTGATAGTACAACTGTGCTGCTGTACCACTAACCCCATATTCAGGAAGTAGAAAGAAGTGTGAACAAGATAATCAGCAGCATCTTCATGAAATGCTGTGAAACATGTATTAGGTCATTTCTTGCTATGAGATGTTTTTTTTAATGTTTACTGATACTGATAATAACAACAAAGGTTGTGTGGAAACTGTCAGCAGTGATACTCCTCAAATTTGCACCTAAATGCTTCTGCTGGCGTATGAACTTATTTCACAGAAATAGAAACACAGGGGAGTTATCACACTCCTCCAAAAGAACCAAGCAGAGCACCATTTAAAGAAAAAAGAAAAACCACAAACAAAAACAAAGTTCCACAAAGCTCTTTGATTCAATGCTATTACAATGCATTTAAAAAAATCTCCATAACTCTTGCGAACCCCATTTAAATATTTTTGCCTTTTCTGGAAAGACAGAGCATCACTTAATTGAGACCTGGAGAACTGCCCAGTTTCAAAAGGTCAGTGCAACCCAGTTGGGTTATTCCTGGTATCCTTCGGTTGCAACCAGCACATTAAAACAGGACAGCTCTCAACAACACAGTGAAGAAAATTTATCTAGAAATCTTTATGCTAATCAGAACATTACTCAGTTGTTGGGAAATGAAGCTGTTGCTTACGAACAAATCACAACTCGCATAAAATAAAGGGGAAGACTAAAAACAACAGTTACACGTCATGTTAAGCTTCCCACGAAATGCAATAGTATCTTAATAATGCAACTGGCACTGTAGCCTCTTTCCCAGTGAACTGAATCATAAGGGAGTAAGACACAAGGAAACGAGCATACCCACCCCACTGCCTGTACTACAGAGCATGTCTAAGCACATCAATCACACTGTAAGTAGTGGGAAACAAGGGCTGAAGCTGTAAAATAGTCTGTATTCTCCCATATCTCTAAGCTGGATGAGGGATGTGTTTAAGCTGCATCAGTGTTTAGCAAAAAAAAAAAAAAAAAGGGCGGGTGGTGTCTCAGCACAGAAATAATGCCATAAATAACACCCTTGTTAACAACTAGACTGGGTAGTTCATGGGACCAGTGAGAGAGCTCTAGGCCAGGCCACTGATCACACTCAAAACTAATATGGTGACAGGGAGCTGCACCATTGTCTGAGCAATGTACTGCAAACTATACAGGACATGTGGCATCTCCCATGTACTAGTATTATTTCATCAAGTCAAAGTCTAATAAAGAAGAAGCAGAAAACAGGACAACAGTCCTGTGTAAAGCACAACACAAAAATGTTAATGCTAGTGTAAGCACAACAGCCAAAATTTACCCCCCCTGCATGAGCACTTTAAGGCTTCCAAGAATTCAGTTCGATCATCCAATAAAAGCTTGATATTACCTTGTTTCAGCAGTGTCGTTTGTCCTGTGCTGATGGCAGCTGGCTACAGATACAGAAACAGCAGCGGCATACAAAAGACAATGTGTGCATGTACTGTAGATGGATAGGAAGGAAAACACTCAATACCAAAACCATACAAAACAATTCTATGACTATGGTTGCATCTAAAAATAGGACTAAAACTAGCTAATATTGCTGGCTCCTTTTGTTATTTAGGATGTTTTTTTTGGCAGACTTTGAAACCAATTGTGTAGGAAAACAAACCAACTCAGAAATAAGCTCCCGCTTCACAAAAATAGGAGGACGCAGTTATCTGGTATGTGTTGTATATCAAACTTAGCATCATAAATACAGTGTCATCCAAAAATGTATTGTACTGGCTCGTCTACTGTAAAACACAGTAAAAACAGGCTCTATCTGATGTACGTGAACAAATAGAGCCTCGCAGTGCCAATTACACCGTCTAATGAACTTGGAGATGGCCGTGGCCTAAACAATTACCTAAGGTGTGCCTTTTACAACACTACGGATATACATAGTGTGTGGTTAGTAGTAGGCTGTGTCAACAGGCTGGATGGCGTACATCAGTCAACATGTTTTTAAATGTGCATGAGCAAACAGTCATGACTATGCTATCCAAGCTAGGGGTTAGAATAGTCTTGTTTACATCTGGTACTATTAAAGGAGTGAAAGAAGAGACAACAGGTTGTGTTTCTTTGACTGTACCTCCTCTGGTTTACCGGATGCTGTAGTACACACACACACACACACACACACACACACTACACAGCTGCACAAACACTGGCACTGTAGAGCTGCAGCAGACCCTCTGTAATCACCCTGTGTGTCTTTGTGTACATTTTCTAATCTACTACCAGCTTTTATTATGGTCATATTGTGGAAAAGGGTATTACATCATGTCATCTTTACTTGGTTTAAGCTGAATTGGACACCTCGGCCGGCGTGCCCTTGTTTAATAGCGCTCACACACTAAAAACACCTGAGAGACGGCACGAAAACGAACAGGTGCTTGCTCATTGCCAGTGAAGTAAAGTAAAAAGTGATAAACAGGATTCGCTGGTCACTTTTACCTCCCAT